GTTGCCTCTGAAAACAAGTTTCAAGTGATACTATTTCTTGAGTATAACTTGCAAATACATTTACATGAAAAGAGATTACCAAAAACTACACTGTTCCTCTTTTAGAGTGTGTGGCTGCATAAACACCATCTATCACTAGTGCATCTTTCCACTACAGCCAAGTCATTGCTGTATATTGTGCATGATGTGTGATAGTCTGATACATAAAAAAGAGGAAAAACTGCTGAAAACACTTTATGCACTTGACAGATAAAAAAAAAACACAAACCAACTTCCCAAAATAGAGTACAAGAACCTAAATATACGGCAGACTCAAGTGATAGTGCACGCCACACAACTGAAGCAGTGTCTATCTAAAAACGCTTCAGCCAAGACTACCAAACATCAAATATAAACATTATCCCAGATATTTATTTTCCAGCCACATCCCTATTTCCAGAGCCCGTGCCTTCCTTCCAGACAGGCTGGTATTTGTTGTGCTGTTGGGGGTGATATATATAGAGGAGACAGACAGAGAGGGATTCCAGTGGGCAGCAATGTGGCTGCGTAAGGAGACGGTGAGGAGAGAAGGCCACTGTGTGTCCCTAACACTGACCCACCCTGCTAATGACAGGGTGCTGTCCGGACCCAGCTAACCCCAAATTACTGCCCTCGCCACCAGCTGTGACCACTACACTCTCAAAAGTGAAACAGCTTAAAGAAACCTCTGGGAGCTTCTTAGATTTAAACAAAAGTGTTGGGTGCAGGATCCTTTTACAAAGTGTTAATGAACCTATCAGTACGTGCTCATGTACATAATATGTGTCTTTTTATTAGAAACCTGACTTAAATGGCACTTCTACTTTCATGCGGCTCTTTGGGATTGTGGAATCAACACAGTGAACGTCACATTTTTAGAGTGTGCGCTGAGCAGGAGCGCCACATTGCCACACATCGACACGAGATATCGCGAAAACTAAACATAACAATGAAATAAATGCTAAAACTAGAAGCTGTTGTCAACAGTTAAAGTACACAGCAGATTTCAGCACTGACATAAAGCAACAACGCAAAGATATTTTGCGCAAAAACAAAAAAAAAGACATTTAAGAAGACAAAGGAAGAAGACACTCACCTGTCGGTTCCTCTCATCAACGATACGGGTGATTTGAATCTTCTTCCTTCCCATTGCTAGAGCAACGTCCACCAACAACCAAAGATGAATATCAGAGGGCTCCAAGTAGTTAAAAATTTAAAAGAGAGTCCTCAACACATAGTCCCCCTGTCAGCTCCTGTTAGTCCATCAGCTTAGCATGGCTTTCTGAAAGAGAGCAACAATCAGCGTTAACTTAATCATTGTTTATTTACTGTGTACGAGCCGTCACAGAAACAGCTCTATTCAGCAAAGATGTTCAAACACTTGGACAAATCATAGAGTGCAAAGGGTCACACACGGCTTACACTGAAAATGCCAGTTATGCAAGGAAAGAAGGAACAGAAAGAAGAATGAATAATAAACATACATTAGTCGGGGACACAAAATCCATTTCTAGCATTTTGAAATTTTCCTCTGCAGTTTGGCATTTCACATTTTGCTGTCACTGTTGATTGCAGTTTTGTAGAAAGAAGGAGGACATCAAAACACCATAAAGAGAGCCATTAAGAGGACACGAAGCGAGACTGACTAAACACGTGCTGGTCCAACAACAAGGATATGATCCCTCACCAGCTTCTCAACTACTACTGCTGGAACACACAATTGAGCCAAAGACTGAACTTTCTGTTTGTTCTAGAGAGCGTTCCTTTCACTCAGGAGCTGAATCTATAATTATAAAGAG